CAACCCATCCAAAAAAAAATGAATGAATAAATAAGTAAATAAAATAATAAACTTGCTTCAGGAGCAATTAGAACAAAGTCTTTATGCTACAGTCTCTTTTAAAGCTCTGCGTAGCCCTTCCATTTCTCAGCGGCTGTTCCTATGGTAAGAACAGACAAATACTTCCTTTTCTCCTTTGGTCCTCTCCCTCAACCCTCCACTGTTGCGTTTGAAAGAACATTAATGAACGTGCTTGGTTAGCTCTTCTTTAGCCCATCAAAGTATCAGATTTCACAAGCTGGTTCATGCTTTTACTATGTTTCTTTGCAATTTCCTCACCAAGGCTAACAAAACAAATCAAGTATAGAACTCCTAGGTCAGGTCAGAGCATGACTTTTCCTCTCAGTAGTCAAAATCAAAAAATAATGCATCCACTCATACTAAAAGGAGACTGAGAATACTTCTATACTAAAAAAACAGCAAAGTGTACTATAGCAAATATAGCTCAAAACAGCTAAGGGCTTCAACAATGAGATGATAATACACTATTGTACAACTGCTAAAATAGAGCAACAAAATTCAAAAGGGACAAGAAATCAGACAAGGCATTCAGCAAAGCGTTAGCTCATTTAATATTTATTACTTAACACTAAGTAAATTGTAACAGAGGTCACTTTTTAACAGTGTCTTTGAGGTTTAGTATACAGAACCATATTATAGTTGCAATGTATTCTGAGTGAGGCCTCTTTTCCAGTGGACTGGATTTTTTTATCTTCATTTATGTTTACGGAATACCATATTCCACAAACAGCTCTGTGAAAGAAAGGGGACCTGATTTTCATTTACATTAAGAGGTCCTCTCTATTTCTCTGCTGTTGTATAGAGTCATTAAGGAGGCCTGAGCTAGAGCTATATGGTTTGACGTTATCTCATTCATTATTCTGCGTAGTCAAATCAAAGTGGGCTAAAAAAATCCCAAATCCCAGAAAGACTTTTTCTCAGCAATTAGTAGAGACAAAAAGGTGTTGCAAATGATGGAGTGTAGTTTCATGGAGTATAGTTTGATTAGTATTAGTAAAGACTGGAAGAATATTTTCTAGTTTTTGGAAGTACTGAGGAAGATAGATGTTTGATTATTAACTAGGTGGTAGGCAATGCCATATGTGAATCACACTTTTCAAGGGAGTCAGTCCACATAACTCACACAAGGAGTGATCTGAAAGGCTGGATGTCTTTCAGAAAGATGCACAGGCAAGCTTTTTGTTGTGGGGCGACGTTCAGGCAAAACTAACAAACCCAGTGACAGAATGTCTGCTTAAGTCATAAATCTCTTGAGAAATTTCAGTTTTAACCGGGAGCTATGTTTATATGTATGTCAATGAAACTGAAATCAAAGCCCTTTGCCTGGCCTACGGGAAAGGAAATGCATCATAAGAATAGGATACCTTCCAACAGTAAGGATTCCTTATAATTTTCCACTGAACGCTTTCGGGTTAATACTGCAGCAAAAAGACTCCCACAGTGGAATGTGTTGAACAGTCCTTTCCTGATTAATGTTGTACTTCTTCAGGAAGGATATAAAGGTCAAGGTTAGGAGGACTACAGTGATTTACTATCAGAAATCTGTTAGGTATCTTGAAGGGTGTTATTCAAATGTCTGCTTAATTTCCACATAAATGATTGAACTTGAATTAGGTGCTTCTGATACCGAAGCAGTTGAAAAGGGAAGAGCAACAAATTTGATACTGTTACTAAACAACTGAATAAATAAACTTCTCAAAGGGCCTTTTTATTCTAGCCTGTACATGTCATGTCCCTCTGACTTCTGCAACTGATAATGTTTTTATGACACATACTATCCACCACTGCCTCTCCACAGTACGCCTCTTAGTGGTACCATGCTATCAAAACAACCAGCATTGTTTCTAGTGATAGCTAAGGAAAACTAATTTCCATTCATTACAAAACAAATTATCCCGTAGTTGAGGACAATTTTCATCAACTGGAAAGTAATGAAATAATGATGGCAGATTAACAAATTGCTTCTAATTTCTTCACTTTTAATTTTCTAAAGAACCAACTATGAGGACTTTAAATATTATTGTGTTCTTTTAAGAATGTTTGACTTTAAATATATGAGAAGCAAAACCTGCTTCTTAACCCTTGAATTGTGGAAAACCCACATTTTGTGAAAGTGGAGATAACTTCCTTTGTTTTGAGACTCAGTGTCCCTCAGCCAAGAGGGGTAACGCATGTATCTGTTTCTTCATCGAAAAAGAGGCAATGAGATGAAAGAGCTCATTCTGCATTGTGTGATGAAGTCGCAATAACTGCAGAGAAACACTTTTTTAAGAAGTCCCTGGACTTAGCACTCTGCCCATAGGGGAGGATATTGCTGAGAAAGTCAAATCCTATATACTCTCAGTGTAATAAATGCAGACTGGAGTAAATAAATGGATTACTATCTAATTTGTATTTTTAAAAAATAAACTAATCTGCTGGTACTTTTTCAAACTATTTACATACTTGTTCTATCTATTTGCATTAATATTTTAGGTAAAAACTAAGAAAATTCTAGCATATATGCCTTTCCTTTTTAAGTGTGAAACAAACTTAATATAAGAAGATATGTCAAACTATTTCAGATTAAACAGTACTATTTTTTAAGTAAATCTTTTATAAACTTTGGCAGGACTCTCCAGTGTAGGTACAAGCACAACGGCCCATATCCTACCCAGTACAATTTTGAACGCTGTAGACTCTCCATTTAGAAAAAGGTAGTTGGATTTTACCCGTACCATTGGCTGTATTGCCTTTTGTCTGGATCCTTGGATAGACCCCTGTAAGTCTGCATGTAGCATGATGAAAGAGAAGGCAGATTGTACAGGCCGGGTTGAAACACTGAGAACTAGTAGATGAGTGACACTGCCCCTTAAGAAATTTCATCAACATGACCATGTTTCTAAAATTGCTATCCTGCAGCTCTCCTATGTGAAAGGCCAAAGTCTTTGCCAAAGAAGAGATGGTGGATAACTTGGTGACCCTTCAAAGTTAAGCCGCTGCTGATAAACTAGGAAGACCTGGCTTCCTTTGTGTTTCTTGAAATCTATCAGATGTAGAGGTAGGCCCTGTGGTCTTTCTGCAGCATGTCTAGCAAAATTCCATGAAGCTGTCCTAACAGAAACGTATTGATTTATTCCTCTACAAGTGTTTCTGCATGAGGAGACAAACTAAGAAAAAGTTACTGTCTGTATTGCTAAATGCAGCTCTCACTGAATGTGCATATTAGTTTTACAGTCAAACTTCACTGGCTTTAGGAGAGTTGTGATGAACACTTGTGTGTTTTTTAACCATTCTTTCTTCTGTAGGTCTAACACAGATCCAACAATTTGAGAATTGGTCTGTTGGCAGACCAACTTTACAAATGTAGTGACTGTGGTCTTTGAATAAAATTTTATTTCAATTTTGGTCCCTTATCTCAATCTTTAGTGCTTTTTATCTTGAACAAATAGAGAGCAATTTAAAAAGTTGATATATATTTGACATTTGGGAATAATGCTTCCCTCATAAAACTGATTGAATGAGACTATACTGGCTGTTAAAGTCATACGCTATACTCTTCGTAGGTTCACTCTGTTGGTATGTCTGGGAGCAATGTCACACCACCTCTCTCCCTCTTAACTCCTTTATTCCTCGGCTATCTTCTTAGGCTTGAAGGCGGATCTTTTAAGCTACCCAGATCAGAAAGTTTATGTATGATTCATCTCTGGTCTTATCATTCTGATATTTTCATGATCACAGAACCAGACTTCAAACAACTGGATTATTAATTTAATTTTTTTAACTATACCAACGTTGCATTGCCTTAAAATGCAAAAACATTATCTTCTTACATACACAGATTTTTAAGAGTATTCTTGAAAGTCACATTGAAGAAAAATTGTTTAAGTTTTGTTGGTAAAATTTAGAATTCAGTAAGTCAAGTGGTAGCATTGATTTTCAAACAGTTTTCCATTAACAACCAAGGAAGCTCTCTGCCAAAAACTTCATGATGAACTTTTTGAAATCAAAATGCAAGATGGAATGAGAAAAGGAGAAGAAAGTCAAAGAGAACTTATGACACATGTTATTAGGCAAGATTTTTCATTACTCTCTCCTTTGATAATATTTTCTTTGTGTCAATGGGGTGTAAAAGACAATCATTTAAGAAGAGCAGAGTGCTGTAGTGAAATCTTTCCCATAGTATTTCAATGTAGTCTGAAAGCTTAAGAACAAATGATTCCTGGACTATGTGTTGAAAAGTAGATTACTTACTATATATTTCCTGATATAGCCTATAATAAGCTGTGGATAATGTGCAGGACTCTACAGGCTTTATGGGAAAGATTAAACTGAATGTTATTTTTATCGTAAGTCTTTGACTTGATGATCACTTAAAAAGAAAAAAAAAAAAAGAAAAAAAAAGTGTTTTACTAGCTTGTAAAACTTCCCAAATATACACTTCTTCTGCAATGTACAATTTGAGAATTGTTAAATATGAACTTGGTTTGGACCATTAATAAGCTCCATCTGTTAAATAGTCATATAAGATTTCTACAACCAAAAAGGATCCACAGGAAGATTATTTTTATGCTAAATGTTGTGGCTAGATTTTTTTTAAACCATATGATGTTCTCCTGCTTTTTAAGATTCAGTGTTGTGACTCATTAAAATGTGTTAATTTTCATACATAGAGCTAGACAATACTTTTTTTTAGCAGTGTTTATTTCTGTTAAAAAAAAAAAAAAGAAACCAATGAATTTGAAAGAAAGTCATATCTGTCTTTTGATTGCACACTTTTAAACAAAAATAATACAAAGTGGAGCATGGATAAAACAATTTTTTTGTTGTTACTTCAGAATAACACCTAAGTCTACAAATGTTCAAAGTGGAAATATACATACCAAGAATGCTAAGACATATATTTTTACATTATCTACAAAACGTATGTTCTAATCCAGCTACAAATCATAGGAAAATACTTTGATACATGAGAAAAGCTATAAACATAAGAACATTTTGGAGGGAAATAACACACACACAAGCTCATTAAATAATTACAACAACAAATAAATAGTTCGTTCAGCTTTACTTTTCAATTGCTGCCATGCATATTTTAATTTTTGGTATACTGAGATAACAAGAGAAAGGTCAGCATGCAAGGCATTTTTTTCTTAGAATGCATCTGAAAGCAGATACTAGATGTTGTATTTTTAAGCTGTTGTCAGAAGTTCATAAAACAAGACACAGAAGGCAATAGATGTGATAGTTAATTGTTCTCATGAAAACACACAACAAAGCTTCTTTTTACAAAATACACTTCAGTGAATATTCACGGCAACTTCTCTTTGCCTCCATGCCTGGAGAAATTGGAGGAGTTTAAAGGGTGGATTTGGAAAGCTTGTGTTATTCCCCATCTATTCCCCCATTTGGAAAATGACCAAAAAAGTCCATATGCCGAGAATGCTCCTTCTGATTTTGGTCAAAGCAACAAGTGTATAGCGTCAACTGAGAACACAGCAATGGCAGACTTGTCTTTAAGCAGTCAGATCTGTAAAGCAGGTGGTTACAGGTGAATTCAGTTTTGACAGGAGGAGAGGGAGATGAGAGAGGAAAGAATGTCTGACTTCTAACTTGTACTGTGTTTGCTGGATTTACTGGCTCTTTTTCTCTCTTTATGGTGCTGGACAGGCTTTGCTTGAGAGGTTCCCTCAAAGTTGTGGCTGGACTCGTTGTGCTGCCTGGTGTATCGCTTGCACTTGCAGGCTGTGACCACAGTTATTTTGTAGGTTCTTATACTTCCATCCTGGCACTGAAGCTGGATCCTCTGGGTGCGAGTTTTGTCATTGACGCATCTCCACTCTTGCGAGCTCCGCCTGCTCCAGTACTTGGTTCCATAACCTCCACCAATCCAGTTGGGGAGCAGTGGCAAAGGGAGGCATTCACCAGCACACACCAGCTCTTTCAGAGGATTGATGCTGGTGCACTGGCCGTCTGAAATGTACTTGGTGGATCTCAGTTCCCGACAGCCAACTTGAACACGATCTGCAGAATGCACAGAACAATGAACACTGAGATTCAGAAGGAAAACATTTTCTTAACCAGTCATTGTCACATTAACAAGCTATGTTTTGCAGAATGTAAAGTAGGCAGTAATTTTTACAGGACATCTTTTTACTCATGTGTCCCCAACATGAGGGCTTCAAGCACTGATGGTATCTCTGGGTATTACCACAGCATAAAGTAATCAACGATATGCACTTCAGCAGTTGTGGTGGAGAAGGCAATTTTATTCTGTATGCTTTTTCTCAAGGACATACCTTTTAGAAAAGAAAAAAATGCCCCAAGGGAAGAAATGTTTCCTGCTTGTTCTTAGTCTAGGGAACTTGCTCTGCAATGTTTACAACAATTATATGGGATCAATAGCAAGGGAGAAAACAGTACTTTAAAATAGTTTCCAAACACTTTCCGAAAGGAATTTAAAAACTGTATTTTTTCCCATTCCACAGTTACAGTGGATGGAGTCTCCCGTGAACACTACTGCGCTGCACACAGATATTGTAGAAGTGATAACAACTACAGTTACTAGAGAATGATGTTCTGCATGCCAAGTTTGAATGATTAGCAATAACAAACTCAGAGTCGCCGTTTTGCCCTCAGGGCAACATCATCTTTGTATTTGTAGTAATCTTTATATTATATATAACATAGAGGATCCTGCAAATTCTCTCAGGCAACTGATATAGAATCAAAATGCAGAGCTTCTAATGCAGGCATGTTTGTACCCGTCTGTATGTGCAGCTCTGCACCCTGCAATAAACACAACTGTTTATTTCAGTAATTACACTTTGAAATAAACGCCCACAGTGCGCTTAATTTTAATAAGCAATCTTTACTGGCCATGCTCTCTCTCTTTCTGAAGGACAATTACAGTGCAGATTCTACACACAATGCAATTAACTAACGCCTTTAAAATAGAAGTAATTACTAGAAACATTTTCGAGTGAATCATAAAAGGCTTTGAAGGTACATCTACATATCACAGCTACAGGCTGCCTCTCTTTCTACTTGGACTTTTTGGAAGTGAGTTCTGAACAAACACTGAGTTAAGATTACAGCTTCACCCTGGCCCTTGTGCCTCTAAGACGGGCAGTCAAGAGGCACTGTAAATCTGCAGGCTGATCTGAGCGATTGTTTACAGAAGGACTGGTGTCCCATCTGACTTGCAGAAAAGATTCAAGTCTGCCTTCCTGCAGCTGCACTCAGGAATGTACCTGGAAGCAGCTGGTCACAGATTCGAGTTTGTCTCTCCTCCTGTTTTTCTATATATCCTGGCTCAACTTTTCTCTAGTGACAGCTCATTGACAATGAATACCTACTGGGCTGTTCCAGTAATCTCATAACGATGAGATGTTTCCTGTGCACTTAAACCCTTAGCATTCATACGAGCTGACACACCTGGCTTAGCTGAAAGGTATCCGTGTCACTTTTTGCCTTCACTTTCCAGGGATGATGCTATTTTTATCGAGTCGTTGTGGGTGGGTTTGTGTGTGTGTGCATGCGTGTGTGTGTGTGTCTATCTGAATTTCTTTCATTGTAAGGATGCGGGCAGGGGAGGGAACAGATAAAGTCAGCAGACGGTTTCCAGATCCCCGTGTGTCTGACACATATACATAAAACCCGCCAGGAAAAGACTAGATATAAAAAGGCATGTTAGAGCAGAGATCATAGGTAAATTATGAGCTGGTGTGTTTACTTTAGCTGGAGGTGTTAAGCAGGTAAGTCTAT